CTGGATGGCATTTCCTAGCACCCCTCTGCCCCTGGCTATGCCCAGCTGTCTAGGATCTGGACAGCATTTCCTAGCGCCCTTCTGCCCCGGCTATGCCCAGCTGTCCAGGATCTGGCCGGTGGAATGAGAGCAGAAGTGGCACATGCGACCTTGAACGGTAAGGACGGTCTGTCTCCTTCCTCCCCTTCCTGCTGCTGCTGGGAAAGCTGCAGCAGTCTCTGTAGGCCAGGAGACAGAAGCTGCATGCTGAGGACAGTGGGGCCACAAAACAGGGAGCTCGGGTCCCCAGACTTCTGGTGAGGCTACTTCCTGCTTCTGTCAGCGGGGCCGCTGCAGGAGGCAGAAAGGGACTCCTATCCTGCTTCAGCCGCTGCTGCATGGGCCTCCCCAGCATACCAGCTTTGCCCATGGCCACTTTGAATGAAGTCAGCTCAGGACAGAGCTTTGAGGGCTGGGGTGGCGGTGGCTGGGGACACCGGCACTGCCACCTCATGCTGAGAGCTTCCAGGTGGCCGGGCCAAGGCCATATGGGCCAGTGGAGCTCTGGGGCTCCTGCTTCTGACCGGGAGGCCTAGGGAAGAGGACCCCTGCAGCGGGGACAGGCAGAGCTCCACCCTGACGGAGGCTCTGCCTCCCACACACTTGCTGACGGGCTGGCCCGGCCCCTGCACGGGGCCTCCTGCCCTGGCCCCTACCTGTTTTGGTCCTGGGGGCTGCTCTCTGGGAGGCTGACGCCCTCCCTGGCTCCAGGCGCGTCTTCTCCAGCCGCTGCTCCAGCAGCACAGTGCGGTGCCGCTCCTCCTGCAGCTTCCTCTCCGACTCCAGGAGCTTGCCGCCACTCTCGTCCACCCTGGGGAGTATAGAGGAGGGTGCCGCACGCCCTGGCAGGCAGGGGCAGCCCCCACCGCACCTGCTCAGGCCCTGAGAGAGATGGGCGCATCTGACATGGAGAGGTGGGGCCCCTTCATTTTCATTGCAGTGGCACAGGAATGTGCATTTAAACGTCATGTGGTTCTCTCCAAGGTCACAGCTGAAAACTACCGGTCCAGGCCCCATCGTTCCCAAGTCCTGCTCTCTAAACACAGTCACTTATAATACTTCTCGCTGTTTCTTTTAATGTTTACTGCCATATTTTTATAGACGCTTATGTTGCTATTTTTAAAAGGTTTAAATATAATCTTTTGATTTCCTGTCATGCAACGTGAGAATTCAGTTTTATTTCAGTGCTCACCCCCACCAAACAGAATCACCTCTACGCGCTTTTGGATAAACTGATATTAGGTGGTGTATCAGTTTTCCATCACAGCTGTAAAAAATCACCACGAATTCAGCAGCTTAAAACAACACAAATCTATAATCTCACAGCTCTGTAAGCCGGAAGAATGGCAGGCTCAGCAGGTTTCACAGGCCAAAACCAAGGGGTGGGCTGACCTGGGCTCTTCTCCGGAGGTTCCGGGGGAAAATCCACTTGCAGGCCCGTTCCGAGTGTTGAGAGATTCCAGTTCCTGGGAGCTGGAGGGCCGAGGTCCCTGTTTTCTGTGGGCTGTTTCAGCTTCCAGGAGCCACCTTGCCCCACCACCTCCAAAGCCAGCTGGATACGCTTCTCACGCGTTGAGTCTCTGTGCCCCTCTGACTTCCTCTACAGCATCTCTCAGAATAACCCAGATGGAGATACTTCTCTGCTTTTAAGGACTCAAAAGATTAGATTGAGCCCACCAGATAATCCAGGATAATCTCCCCATTTTAGGGTCCATAACAATAATTATATCTGCAAAATCTCTTTTGCCACGTAACGTCAAGCACCCACAGGCATAACAGCAGGGAGTGAAGGGCACAGACACCTGATGCCTGCCTGCCTGCCACCGCGGTACACTGGGACAGTTAGAGCCATGACGCAGCGTGTACGGATGGTCACATTTCCTTTCTCACTTGATTGTTTGCCTTTCTTGGAGTTGGGTTACCTCAAGCTTAGTGTGCTGTTTTCTACATGCCCGTCACACATGCGCAGGCCTTGAAGACCTCGCTCTGTGGCTACTGCATGTGCAGGATTGTGGATTGTTTAATCCCACTGGGGCCCGGGCTCAGGTCCTTCCCGTGGCCAGGTGTGCCACTGCGGACCTCTGTGATACAAAGTTTCCGTGAGGAAGCCAGAACTCCCTGAGCTCTAACCCAAGCCCAGTCGCGTGCGCACCTGCAAACCACAATGGCAGCCTTGAAACTGACAGCGTTGGAGGAAGTGATCTTTCCACATTGGGGAAGGGTCAAAAAACCAGAAAGGCAACAGTTTTCAACAGTACACAACCACTAATAAAAAGCTGTATAGTAGCACAGCACACCGCTGCTAACACGTATTTAAGCATATTCCTTGAAACTTTATTTGCAAAAGCAAAAACTCAAAACAACCTAAAGGCCCATCAACGGGACAAACAAATAAGCAGAAACATATTCATACTATAGAATGTTCTAGAATATGACAGAGCTCCACACAGTGCCTGCCAGCTGTGTGTCCACACATAGCTACTAAAATTACAGCTCAGGAGCTGGGCTCAGTGGCTCATGCCTGTAATCCCAGCACTTTGGGAGGCTGGGGTGGGAGGATCACCTGAGGTCAGGGGTGTGAGGATTCAGTCAGGCTACTGGGAAAAATTTTAGTTATAATAAGCACAAAGCCTCTTAGAAGGCCTGGGGGGTTGCATAAGCTCCAGCAATAAATCTGGCTGAAGGCAGCCAGTGTCTCTCTGCAGGAGCCGGAGAGATTAGGGTGCAAATACAAAGGAGCATAGAGGAGTTTAACTAGCTAGCTTGTTTACTCATGTGATCCTAAGACTGACCTTTGATTTACTGCAGGTGCTTAACTGCCTTCTACTCAGGGGGTCCACAGAAGTTAATTACCCTCTAGTGGTGTTTATCCAAAGACCCTTGTCCTTTGATACATTAAATAAAAGCCTGCAGTAGGGGCTGCCTGGGACCAGCAGTCACAACTGTTTACAGCACTCTCCACAGAGTCTGTGAGTGGCCCGGACACTCAGCAGAGCTGGAAAAGCATCGTTATCTGTGTGTTAGTGTACTCATCTGTCGTTGAGTCAGGGTCTGCCGGACAGACCCCCGCAGGTGGTGACCCCAACAGTGGTGCCCCATGTGAGGAGACTTCACAAGTAGTGACCCCAACAAGGAGCTCAAGACCAGCCTGGCCAACATGGTGAAACCCCCTCTCTACTAAAAATACAAAAGAATTAGCCAGGCATGATGGCACATGCTTGTAGTCCCAGCTACTCAGGAGGCTGAGGCAGGAGAATTGCTTGAACCCGGGAGGTGGAGGTTGCAGTGAGTTGAGATCGCACCACTGCACTCCGGCCTGGGCCACAAGAGCAAAATTCCATCTCAAAAAAAAAAAAAAAAAAAATTAAAGTTCAGGTCATGCATGAATAGTTCATGCCTGTGCTTTTGGAGGCACAGGTAGGCGGATCACTTGAGCCCAGGAGTTCAAGACCAGTCTAGACAACGTGGCAAAACTCCATCTCTACAAAAAAAAAAATACAAAAATAATGCGGGCATGGTGGCACGTGCTTGTGGTCCCAGTTACTTGGAAGGCTGAGGTAGGTGGATCACTTGAGCCCGGGAGGTGGAGGTTGCAGTAAGTGTGCCGAAATTGTACTATGTAAAGGCACTATGTAAAGGCACTGCCCACTGCACTCCAGCCTGGGCAGCAGAGTGAGGCTCTGTCTCAACAGCAACAAAAAAATAAAGTTCATGAAAATTAAAAATTCAGTTCCTCAGTCACACTAGTCACTCAAGTTCTTAAAAGCCACATGTGGCTAATGGCAACCGTATTGATCAGTGCAGATTTTGAACAACTCCATCATCACAGACAGTCCCACCGGACAGCAGTGGAGGGGGCTCGTTATCACCAGAGTGGGTTTCTGACAAAGGACGACTTTGTCCTCACTTCCAGCATTGCCCTTCTGCCTTTCACCACGGGATGCTGTAAGAAGGCCCTGTCAGATGCTGGCAGCTTGATACTGGACTTCCCAGCCTCCAGAGCTATGAGAAATAAATTTTTTGTCTTTATACATTACTCAGTCTGTGGTATTCTGTTATAGCAACACAAACTGGACTAAGACACATCTTAGACACAGCTGGGTAACTGAACTCCAGGACAAGGAGAGAAATCTCATAACAACAGCACAGCTAACACTTCTGAGTGCTTTCCATGTGCCAAGCACTATGTAAAGGCACTGCATAAGCATCATTATGTCTAATTCTGCAAGTAACCAACAGGTGCACTAGCATTACTTCAAGAAGACACAGAAAATCTAAATTTGAAAAAACGCTGTCAAAAATCTACCTCCAAAAAAAAAAAAATCAGGTCAAGCCAGGTGCTCAAGAAAGTTCTCTCTAACCTCCAAGGAACCAATTGTTCTTGCTGTTCTGGCAATTCCACAATATAGAAAAAACAGATAGCTTCCTGTAAGTTTACAAGAAACTTGATTTCACAGTTAATAATAGGGTTAGTGTATTAATCCTGCCGCACAACAAGTTACCACAAACAGAGGCTCCAAAAAACATAAAGAGCTCCTACACTCAACAACAGGACAAACAACCCAAGTAAAGAGCAGGCAAAAGACTTGTGTTTCCCCAAGGAAGATACGCAAATGGCCAACAAGAACATAAACAGGCGCCTGACATCATCAGCCATTAGGGAAATGCCAGTCCAAACCACAAAGAGGTATCACTTGAAACCTCGCAGGACAGCTACAATTGAAAAAGAGGAAAATAGTAAGTGTTGGTGAGGACATGGAGAAACTAGAACTCCTGGTCAACAGTTTGGAGGTTGCTCAGAAAGCTAACTGAAAAGTTACCATAGGATCAAACCATTCCACTTCCAGAATCGGAAATGGGGACTCAAACAGATACTTGTGCAACAATATTCTTGTTGCATTATTCATACCAGCCACGAAGGCGGAAACAGCCCAGTCGTCCATCAACAGATGAACGGAGAGAAAGAAACAAATGGTCTATGCGTGCAACAAAATATTATCCGGCCATAAAAAGCAACCAAGTTCTGACATGCTACCATGTGGATGAACCTTGGAAACGTTGGGCCAAGCACAACAAGCCAGATTCAAAAGGGTAATACTGTATGACTCCACTTATGTAAAACATCTAGAACAGGCAAATTCACAGAAGGGAGGTTACTGGTTAGGCACAGTGGCTCACGCCTGTAATCCCAGCACTTTGGGAGGACAAGGTGGGTGGATCACCTGAGGCCAGGAGTTCAAGACCAGCCTGGCCAACATGGTGAAACCCTGTCTCTACTAAAAATAAACAGCCGGGTGTGGTGGCAGGTGCCTGTATTCCCAGCTAGTTGGGAGGCTGAGACAGGAGAATCGCTTGAATCCGGGAGGCAGAGGTTGCAGTGAGCTGAGATCCTGCCATTGCACTCCAGCCTGGGTAACAGAGAAAGACTCCATCTCAAAAAAAAAAAAAAGAAAGAAAAAAGAGGTTACTAGACTAGACGCTGGGTTTGTGCGGTGGGGTATGAGGAGTTGTTGCATAATAGTAACAGAGTTTTTCTTTGTGGTTATGAAAAAGTTTGGAAACAGTGATAATGGTTACATAGTATTGCTAATGTAATTAATGCCACAAATTGTACGCTTTTAATGGTTAAAATGACAAATGTTTGGTGTATATAGTTTACCACAATTAAAACATACATATATTGCACAGATTTATTATTTCACAGTTTCTGTAGGTTAGAAGTCCAAGGTTGGCTTAGCTAATTTCTCTGCTCAGGGTCTTACATGGCTGAAGTCAAGGTGACAGAAGGAGATGCTCTCCTCTGAGGCATGGAATCCTTTTCTACCTCATTCAGGCTGTTGGCAGAAGTCAGTCCCCTATACAGATGCCACGGAAATGTCAGGAAGTTACCCGGTATGGCGTAGAGGGGGAGGCTGACTGGGGTCTCCATGTTTTTGCCGGCTAATGACTTGGGTGGTTGTGAGCTCCTAGATTTTTCTCCTTATTCTGGAGTTCAGGTATGCTGCCCAGCTGTGTCTAAGGGAGTGTTTTCATCCGTTTTGTGTTGCTTTGACGTAACACCACAACCACCCATCACCATGCTGTTCCCTCCAAAGCACAGTGGTTTTGTCAGAAGCATTTGAACTAGAGCAACTCCATCTTAAAGAGGAGCTGGATAAACCGAGGCTGAAACCCACTGGGCCGAATTCGCAGATGGTTAAGGCATTCTAAGTCACAGGATGAGCTAAAGACCCTGCTGATATAAATCAGGTTGCAGTAAAGCAGCTGGCCAAAACCCACCAAAACCAAGACGGCCACGAGAGTGACCTCGGGTCATCCTCACTGCGACACTCCCACCAGCGCCATGACAGCTTACCGATGCCATGGCAACGTCAGGAAGTTACCTGACCCTACAGAGGGGAGGCATGAATAATCCACCACTTGTTTAGCATATCATCAAGAAATAACCATAAAAATGGGCAACCAGCAGCCCTGGGGGCTGCTCTGTCTATGGAGTAGCCATTC